CAGATGGTAGCCTCTTACATGCGTGCTGCGCATTATTTCGGCGCAACAAATCGAGTTTTGTGGAACCGGGTCGACAGATTGGCCCTGTCCTGCCATGCGCGCGCCCGTAGTCCCACAAACTCAATTCTGTGCAAATCCTGCTACACAAAACTCAATTTTTGTAAACACCAAAACTCAATTCGTGTCGAACCGGTTACACCAAAACTCGATTTTCGTTGCCCAAATTATGCGCACCGCATGGTAAGAAGGGCTTACCATTGCGTCAGAAGAAACCAATGGATAAGCCCTGCTTACCATTGCGTGTGCCATATTTGCGGCCAACAAATCCGAGTTTTGTGGACACGGTTTCGACAGAATTCGAGTTGTGGGTTGTACCAAATTCTTTTGTTGGAACCGGGTTCGACAGAAATGAGTTCTTGCTGTTTACAAAATGAGTTTTGTTGGAACCGGTTCGGACGAATTGAGTTTTTGTGGAACGGATTGACAGAATTTGGAGTTTTGTGCTCTCACAAAATTGAGTTTTGTGGAACCGGATTGGACAGAATTTGAGTTTTGGTGTTTACAAAATTGAGTTCTTGCTTTGGACCGGATTGACAGAATTGGCATTTTGTGTTCTACAAAAATTGAGTTTGTAGTAAAGGAATTACGAGACAGAATTCTGAGTTTTCGTGTCACAAAATTTGAGTTTTTTGTTGAGGACAGAATGAGTTTTGTAGACAAAATTGAGCGCCTGTCCTGCATGGCGCCCCGTATGTACACCCAGCGGTACTTTCAATAGGGCCTGTTCGTAATGTGCATGGATGATGTAACAAATCTTGTAAAACAGGCACGTGAATTTTCTCGAACATATGCATTGGATAATTAGTCTTTGCTTGCCCGCCCCGTTATAAAGATTTTGGTCTCTTTGAAATAACTCTCTGCGGCACTTTCGGTTATGTGCATATGTTTGATTCTATCCATTGGTGTCGCATTTTAATATGTAACTATTTTTTGACCAAGGATCACGTACGTTTATTTTAAATTTAGTACATATTCTAAAAGACGGTTTTTAGTTGTAGTTGAGATAATTTCTACGAACCAAAACTTTTTTAAGTGATATCTATGTCCTACAATCGGCGCGACATATATTTATTGTAAACTATATCAATTTTCAGTTTTATATTGCCTCGATGTCAGGCTGATGATATCCTTGTTTGCAACATTTATTTTTTATTGTAACGTTGTTAACACTAGTATTTTGCAAATAAACTCTATTCTCTATTTATCTACTATCTATCTATATATATATATATGATTAATATTATATATTGTTTTTAATCTATTCTAGTATCATATATACCTGGCAGCGATTGCATCATTCTTGTTCCATCATATTATATTAGTATGATATCATGATATTATCTTCCATAATATATAGTTCTTCTTTATATATTATAATATTGTTATGACAGCTTGTCGTACAGCAGCAGCACGATTGCGATGTTGACACTTGACTTCTCGTTACCAGATGTATCTCCGAAGACTGCCATTGTATTAACGGCTATTTCGCTCGTGTTCAGGCCGGCAGCAATATACGTTCGCAGCGTTCGGGCTGCCGTCTTCTAACATCGGACAGCTACACTATTACATATGTTCGGCGGCAACTCTGACGGCAGCATGGTGGCCGAGACGCAGGCCTTCGCAGATCTTATCACGGCGTGCGTGTTCATTACAAGCATCGCTGAGACCGTCTATTCGCTCGCCATACCTCCGTCCGTTTACGGACTGTGCGAGAAATGCTATCACGCGGGGGCCGGGAGGGACAGTACGCAATGTGGCGCAGCACTAGTGTTAGCGATTCGGGTAGGTCAGCGAGTTAGGGTTTCAGGGATTAGCGGTTAGGATTTAGGTTAGGGTTATGGTGAGTTAGGGTTACGGGTTAGGTAGGGACTTATAAGGCCATGTCGAGTACGGAAGTAATGACTGTGGAATCTTTCTGTGGCAAGATTATCGGACTTTTGAAGTGTATACGCGTAAACTGGTAATATCACCGTGGCACGTGTTCCCCTCCTCCACGCCCGCCGGGATAGCAACCACCCACGGACGTGCGCGTCAACGGCTGATCGTCGTACCTGTGCATGTCCGCTCCGCGGCCCCGGTTGTTTCCGCGCGCTGTACTACATACGCTGGTCTCTAGCGACGTCTACGCATCACATCTTATCACCAAGGCCCGCTACCAGCTTCTAACTTGGGGGGGGGGGAGTTCGATTCTTAAATGTTGGCCCAATTTGTGAGCGGCGTGCAATGGACGCCCGAGCGACGGCGAGCATAGCGACCAAGCAGGGAGAGGGACGATCGGAGAGTTTTGCAATTTTTACACTTAAAATGGAGCGATCTGGAGCATACCTGAGATGAAATTCTTGCCACAATTTTCCAAATGGAAACATTTTTATTTATTTTTTGTTCTCGGGGGGGGGCGGGGGGGTTTCGTGCAAAGCCCCCGAACCCCCCTGGCTACGGGCCTGTAGTCACTACATAGGAACGCGATGGCCTATTAGTTGTACATAGAGGAGAATGCGCGAGCTGTAATCAATGAACAATCCACAGCACCCTCAAACGCATGATTTCATTATAATAGTATTTGTAGTGTAGTGGAATAAGGCAGGAAGAGCATTCCTTTTTATTCTTCGAGTTTGGGGGGGATCCTAGGCGCGTTCTCAGGTTACAAAACAATGAAAACACATCGAACCACGGACTAACTTTGGCCGATAATAGACCAACCTGACTCTATCTAATATGTTAATGTGTTTGCTCGTGGTTCTTCAGGAAACCTGGAGAGGATAAGTCTACATGAAGACTTCTTCGGTTGAACGCAAACGGAGAGAAACGATCTTCATACCTGTGTGTAGACATGAATAATGGCAGAAGAGTCGCCTCCAGGTCGATCGTGCTTGCTGTTCAAGTAAGGACCGTTTATTGTCGCGGTGAACGGTGGTGTAACATATAGAGTAAGGATATGCATTGACGCTTTGAAATAACTGAATATACTTATACATAGTATTGCACACTGTAATAAGCTTAGATGTGTTTAAGAGAGCGTGAGAGAAAAAGCGAAGAGCGACAGAGAGAGACGGAGAAGTACAGAAGGATATTTAGAAATCAAAGAGAGAGGGCGCCAGAGAACTGGCCGCACTAATATTTTTGAATTGTCTCACTTATCTTTTCTCGTGTCTTGAAAAGGTTTACTGATAAATTGCTGTTACTAATCCTTCGTGTCAATAAGCTGCCTTGTTAATACCCCGTCACACCGGGGTGGCGTCCTTACTGGCGTGCTACGGCGACGGAAAATGCGTCCAGAGCCGCCAAGGTCGCCATAAGCTGGTATAAGCGTGGTGAAACGCCAGATATCGTGGTGTGGTCGCCATGGTCGCACCATGATCGCCGAGTTACGGGCGTTTGTTTTGAGCATCTTTCAAAACAAAAAAGGCCAAGGTTCGGCGATCTGACCTGGAACGCGGTGAGAACGCGCGTGTGTGGTCGCGAAAGTCGTCGGTGAACAAGCGTCGTAACAATCTCCATAAAACGTAGTACACGCGCCAGTACACGCGTGGCAAAAGACGCTGCGAAAAATGGTAACATTTTCAACGCGCGAATTCATGGATCTGTCTCATCCGAATCTGCCGATCTGTTTCATGCCGATCCGTGTCTGGCACGGCCACGGCCTCGGCCTCTAGCATCTTGTTTCTTCGGCATCGTGTTTCTACTCAGCAAACGCACACTATACAGTTAAAATTTCCGAAAATCTGACCAGCTTATATAGTCGCCGTGAAGAACGTGATAGAAACGCGCGAGGTCGCCGTGGCAGTCGCGATACACGCAGAAGACGCGTGCGTAAGAACCCCATGAGCGTGGTGAGCGCGGCGGGAAACGCCGGTGATCGCCCGTTGCCAGCCATAGATCTCATAGAAACGCCATAAGCGCACGAAGGTCGTGGCGGGCGCGCCGTGAGAACGCGGTATGATCGCACAGGTCGCGGAAGAGTCGCGTTTTTATTAGATAGAGAATAGGTTTATTGCAAAACTAGTGTTAACAACGTTACAATAAAAATAAATGTTGCAAACAAGATATCATCAGCCTGACATCAGGCAATATAAAACTGAAATTGATGATATTTACAATAATATATGTCCCATGGTAGGACATAGATATCACTTAAAATGTTGGTTCGTAAAATTATATCACTACAACTAAAAACCGTCTTTAGAATATGTACTAAATTTAAAATAACGTACGTGATCCTTGGTCAAAAATAGTTACAATTAAAATGCGACACAATGATAGAATCAAACATATCACATAACCGAAAGTTGCCCAGAGAGTTATTTCAAAGAGACCAAAATCTTTATAAAGGGGCGCAAGCAAAAGACTAATTATCCATGCTATTGTAGAAAATTCAGTGCCTGTTTACAATTTGTTAATCATCCTGCACATGTACGGAACAGTGCTATTGAAGTACCGGCTGGTACGAGGAACTTTTGCTAGCCGAGGTTTACTAGAATTCCGTGTTATGCGGTTAGACACATTTATTGCTGAAGGAGGGCAAATATCCTGTAATCGTTTACAACTTTTGAGCTGATAAGCAACATTTTCACAAAGCTGCTCGCGACGAAACGCAAGTCTTTGGATCTGAAGCTGAGATAGTACCTCATCGTACATGTCGTACCTATTCCAATTATTATAATCTATTATTATGTTCACTGCCCTTAATTACTTGAACAGATTCGATTAGACGTGAGAGCTCTTTGGTAAGGCCCGGGTGCCAGACGGGCGCAGCATATTCCAGAATCGGTCTGACGTAACCACAGTAAATTTGTACGAGATCTTCACAGCTAAGCCTAGATTTTTTTAGTATACCAAGCATGAACATTCTTTTACTGTCTCTAGCCACCAGATCTTAAACGTGTATGGCCCATTTAAGATCGTGCTGGAGCCATACATCCAGGATCTTCCAAATTTTCCAATTGAAAGTGTGCTAAAAAATGGTTCAGCATCTTGAAGTCTATTTCTACCAAAGTACACCTGCATAATTTTGCATTTTTCAGGGTTAAGTTTCATTTTATTTGAAAAGGCCCAGCACTAGATAGATGCGAGTACGTTGTTTAGATATGTCGGGCGTGGATCGACCTTGTCTCCAGTAGTGTCATATTGTCGACGTATTTCCATTTCTGAACTAATAGTCTATTAGCAGCATCGTTAATCATGACCAAAAACAATAGCGGGCCAAGCTTTGTGCCCTGGGGAACACCACATGTTAATCCCTGGTACTTAGAGGTAGACCCTTTGTACCGGACGCATTGTTGCCTCATAGAGAGGAAATCACTTATCCACGGTAGTAGTGACGGTCTGACTCCTAATTTATGGAGTTTTTTTAGCAGTGTTGTGTGACATATCAGGTCAAATGCTTTTCTGAAGTCAGTCACGACTAGAGAGCTTATATTGTTGCGTTTTTCTGCTCCTCTGTACCGATAGTCCAATATGCTGATGAGGTAATAAAGTGTTAAAGACTTGGGTATGGGGCCAAACTGGCGTAAATCAATTTTATGCTGGATGTCGTCCATGATGCACGTGTAGACGAAGTTATCTGCTATTTTAGCGAAAGTGCAGGTTAGAGAAATTGGCCTTAGCTCATCAATGGAAGGAGGGTACATTTTTGGTATAGGGCATGCGATCGCCTGTTTCCAAGCTTGATGTACACAGCCCTGCAGAAAAGATGCGTTTATTACATCAGCCAGGGGTGTCGCTAACTCAGCAGCAAATTCTCTAATTAGACGTGGCGGAGGGTTGTCAGGTCCTCCAGATTTATTAATGTTTATCTTCAGTAAGTGACGGTAGACTTGCCACTCCTGCACTGTTGGTGGTGGGAGTGCCGGAAGGAAATTTGGAAGACTATTGTAGTCGAGAGGAGGAAGAAGTCGCGTAACAGCAGAGAATGAATCGTTTATCTTTTCAGCTATTGATGATGTGTCACTTGGATCGATTCCAGGAATTTCGATAGTTACTGTTGATTTGCTCATGTTCGCCATGTCTCGGATTTCTGTATGCCACTTACGCGGATTATATTTTTTTAGGTGCTGAATTTTTTTTAAATAATAATACTGCTTAGCTTTGATGATTTCTTGGTGTACCTTGTTACGATAGAAACGCCACGAGTTACTCTTGTTACGGAAAGCACGTTGTCTTTTATTGTTAAGTTCCTTTATTTTGGCAGAGAACCATTTTTTTGACGTGACATGCTCGTGGATGATCTTGGTCGGAAAGTTCAGATCAATTTGTTCAGCCAGCTGTTCACTAAAAACGTCCAGTTTGAAGATGACATCAGTAGCGGATAAGACATCATTCCAATCGCATGTGGTCATCCAACGGCCAAAAGTTCTCAGCCGAGAATCAAGAAGAGGTCTAACGATACGAGTCGATTTCCGTTTAGATGGCTTCAAAATATGTCTTTTAATAGGCTGCCACATAATGCATAGATGATCGCTGAGCCCAAGAAGTGCTAATGTAAACAGTTCCAAATATGTAGAGTGGATGTTGGTAATGATATTGTCAAGGATAGCATTACCACGTGTAGGAACTGTCACGACTGCCTTCAATTGATGGGCTTTACACAGAGGTTGTAAATCAAAATGGTTGAAATCTCCAGTAAATATCACTCCAGCATCTGGGTAGTCAATAAGTAGTGCGTCAGTCGATTCAGTTAGATGATTGTTCAAATTTTCATGGTGCACGGAACCAGGGTGACTATATACGCAGCACACTATTAAGCATGATGTAGTGCGAGGCAGCAATTTAGGACGACACCAAATCCAAATCCATTCCAATTCGTCACATTTATTTTCTTAAGACTTCGAGCTTGTAAGGTGTCGTGTACGTAGATAGCGACACCGCCTCCTCTATGTTGATTCTTGAATTTTGTAAACAGCGAGTATGATTGAATTTTCAACTCTTCCTCTGGCACCGCAAAGAGATAAGAGTCATGAGTATATTGCAATAGTCAAATGTATGTCAGAATAGTCATTAGGGTCTTCTTATAGTAAAAGGTAGTTTGGGATAGTCACAAGTCACAAGTTTAAATAGTTACACGTTCAGGTGTTAGGTACGTAGTGCGATAGCGTTCTTTGTGCGGCATTGGGCTACACGCTGTTTTCAGAATGTCTGGAAAAGCATGCCAGTGTACAGTGTGCTATTCAAGAAGAAGCCTGTCTGGGTGTCAAGGGATTGGTGGAGACTTCGGGTTGTTTTTCCGTACCTGTTCCTTCCTGCTATTTTGGTCAGAGTAATGAACGGGCTAACCACCTTACCCTTCGGACACACCATACCCTATCTACTTCTTTGTTGCTTGTCGTGGATCTTTTACCAAAGAACTGGACACCCGCCACTGGCCCACACTACGACAAATTGACGCAGTTGACAGGATTTCCGGTCAACGTAGGAGTGATTGCAGAATACCACTGTTGACGGAGTGAAGAACCCCATGGTCTAGAAGAGAAAGCCAATCGGGGAGACACCCTTACCATCCTGGGATATTGACGTCGGGCGTAGCACCGAGGAAGTATCGGCCCGTTGGACGTATGGACTGGAATGGATTTGCTCTTTCAACGTGAACTGTATTACTCAGTGAATAGCAACGGGAGAGTTAATTAGTACATTGTAATATTTTTGTATTATACGTGTTTTGCATTGCGTGCATTCCTGATTTGAATTCCGTGTACTTGAGACTACGCAGTTGTCTTCAGCAATTAAAACGATAGACAATATCTGAATGACAGAGATGCTACAGAGATACGATACATACATATATATTATATATATATATACGCCACCCCGGTGTGACGGGGGTATTAACAAGGCAGCTTATTGACACGAAGGATTAGTATACAGCAATTTATCAGTAAACCTTTTTCAAGACACGAGAAAAGATAAGTGAAGACAATTCAAAAATATTAGTGCGGCCAGTTCTCTGGCGCCTCTCTCTTTGATTTCTAAATTATCCTTTTGTACTTCTCCGTCTCTCTCTGTCGCTCTCGCTTTTTCTCTCACGCTCTCTTAAAACATCTCAGCTTATACAGTGTGCATACTATGTATAAGTATATCATTATTTCAAAGCGTCAATGCATATCCTTACTCTATATGTTACACCACCGTTCACCCGCAATAAACGGTCCTTACTTGTAACAGCAAGCACGATCGACCTGGAGGCGACTCTTCTGCCATATTCATGTCTACACACAGGTAGAAGATCGTTTCTCCGTTTGCGTTCAAACCGAAGAAGTCTTCATGTAGACTTATCCTCTCCAGGTTTCCTGAAGAACCACGAGCAAACACATTAACATATTAGATAGAGGTCAGGTTGGTCTATTATCGGCCAAAGTTAGTCCGTGGTTCGATGTTTTCATTGTTTTGTAACCTGAGAACGCGCCTAGGATCCCCCCAAACTCGAAGAATAAAAAAGGATGCTCTTCCTGCCTTATTCCATACCACTACAAAACTATTATAAATGAAATCATGCGTTGTAGGGTGCTGTGGATGTTCATGGATTACAGCTCGCGCATTCTCCTCTATGTACAACTAATAGCCATCGCGTTCCTATGTAGTGACTACAGGCCCGTAGCCAGGGGGGTTCGGGGGGTTTGCACGAACCCCCCCCCCGAGAACAAAAAATAAATAAAAATGTTTCCATTTGAAAATGTGCAAGAATTTCATCTCAGGTATGCTCCAGATCGCTCCATTTTAGTGTAATAATTGCAAAATCTCCATCGTTCCCTCCCCCTGCTTGGTCGCTATGCTCCCTCGCTCGGTCGCTTCACGCCCTCACAAATTGCCAACATTTAAGAACGAACCCCCCCCCAATATAAAGCTGGCTACGGGCCTGGTGACTAAGTGTGATGCGTAGACGTCGCTGAAGACACAGCGTATGTAGTACAGGCGCCGGAAACACCGCCGCACGGACATGCGCAGTACGGACGTATCAGCGTGACGCGCACGTCGTGGGTGTTGCTATCCCCCGGGCGTGGAGGGACAGTCACGTGATAGAGTTGACGTATACTTCAAAGTCCAAATCTTCCACAGAAAGATTCCACAGTCATACTTCCGTACTCGACATGGCCTTATATCCCTAACCCTAACCCTAACCCTAACCATAACCCTAACCCTAATCCTAACCCTAACCCTAACCCTAACCCTGATCCTAACCCTAACCCTAACCCTAACCCTGATCCTAACCCTAATCCTAACACTAGTGCTGCCACATTGCGGTACTGTCCCTCCACGCCCGGGTGATAGCATTTCCCGCACGTCGTACGGACGACGGATGGCAGCGACTAGCGGTCTCACGATGCTTGTAATGAACACGCACCCGTGATGAAGTCTGCGAAGGCTGCGATCTCGGCACCCATGCTGCCGTCAGAGTTGCCGCCGAACATCATGTAAGTGTAGCTGTCGATGTTAGAAGACGAGCCCGACGCTGCGAACGTATATTGCTGGCCGGCCGACACGACGAAATAGCCGTTAATAAATGGCAGCTCTTCGGAGATACATCTGGTAACGAGAAGTCAGTGGTCAACATCGCAATACAGTGCTGCTGCTGTACGACAAGTGCATAACAATATATAACTATATAAAGAAGAACTATATATGGAAGATATATCATATATCATACTAATATAAGTATGATGGAACAAGAATATTGCAATCGCTCCAGGTATATATATATACTAGCTGGGCTACCCGGCGATGCCCGGGATTAAAGAGCTATAATTTAGTCTGCTATGACGGCTGTACTAATCTTATTCGGATTTTATAAATCTGTGCTAAGAATTTCACTTCTGGTCAGTTCTGCAGTGCTTCTTGGTACACAACATTCTTGGTCTTGCCATCTTGAGAAAGGATGTAGAGGTTGTCTGGGTTACCCATCCTGGAGCACCCCACATAGAGCTGGCCATGGGAGAACACTGGCTCACTG